CAGAGTTTGGGATCCACGAGGTCGGGGGAGGGGCGGGGTCCTGGGACCGACACCCAGGGGTCACCCGGGGAGGACGGCACTGTCCCCACGTGATGCCTTCCCTGGAGCGAGGCTGCGAAGGGTTGTCTGCAAAACACAACTGCCACAACACAGCATGCAGATGGTGTACTACACAATCGCGCCCCTGAAACCTGTATAATTTTATTAACCAATGTCACCCCAATAAATTAAATTTAAAAATTAAAAAAAACCTGGCAGCCAAAAGAAGGATTATAACACCCAATTATAAACGACGCTCACCAACAGGTGGAGACACATGCAGACAATGAAGTGCATTTTCATGTCACCTGAGGGCTCAGGAGGTGTGTGGGTTGCGGGTGTGGGGAAAGAAAACTGCACAATAAAACTGATTGTCTCGCCACGGTTCTTAAGATTCAAACAGCAGGCATGACCGTCTGGCAAGTAAAGGTCCAGAACCCCGAGAGTCCCGAGACTCCTTAAGCTTATTTAGTGCAGCCTCTCTCCCAACACAGAACTCCCCTCATCATCCTCCACAGGCCAGCACTGGGCTCGAGCACCTCCCGGGAGCCGGGCCCCACCACTTTGCAGGAGGCTCCTCTGGGACCTGCCCCGTAGAACTGCTGACTGCCGAGCCACCTGCTGTGCTATCGTGACTGGAGACCGCTGGGAGATGGCCTGGGGTTACACGTGAGAGATCCAGAGGCAGCCCATTCGGTGTCCACTCCCAGAGCTGCCACTTGGTAGCTCCGTCGGCTTGGAGCTTGTCTGACGTAATATTATACGAGTAAAGCCCTTAAAAATGGAGCCTGGCACAGAGTAAGCACACGATCATGTTAGTTAGCTGTGGCAATGATGACGCACCTGCAAGGTCTTCTCCTCTCCAGATGAAACACCCCCACGTCCATCACCAGTTCCGTAAACCACGTGATTCTCAAAAGCTCCTCCAGTAGCATGAGATCCACAGAGATGGGGTCGTGGATTTAACGTTCTGATGCGGTTGGAACTGGCTCCCAATTCAGTGGGGGCAGCAGCTGCCTGGACCCGCACCGGGCTACTGTCTCCGTGCTGCCTACGACTGCCTGGTTTTGTGCCTGCTGAGCCACATCCCTGGTCCTTCTCAGTCTGACGGACCCTGAAACTGCTGTCAAGCCAAGCTTCTCCTGCCTGTATTTATGGAATTTATTTAGGGGGCACGGATGCATTCGTAACTATGAGACTAACGTCTTGGTTCCAGTCTATTGCAACACATGTCATTCTGGTTTTATGATTCAGTCTTTTCTAATTTTGTGTCATGTGTCAACTTTGAAAAATGCTTTATTTTTGTCCAAGTGGTCAATAAAAATATGATCCAAACAGATCTAAAGACAGAGTGAGCCCTTACGGGGAACCATGAGAGACCGCCATCTGATTAATGATCTCTTCCAGGACGTTTGACCTATGACCTCTTAACTCTGTCATCATTATCCCTGCCTTTCTCAGAAAGACATCATGTGAAAATCAATAGACGTTTTTTCTGTTTCAATTCCTTGTGGGCAACAACAGCTAATCTGGAATTACTCCTTCTAGAGAGAGGACACGGGTAGCTTCACGTCACAACAGGGTGCGGCATGGTGCTGGACCCCACCCTGTCCCAGAGTCAGGGCGAGCTGCATGGGCTTATCACAGTTCGCTTGCTTTCTTAACTGAACTGATGCATCTAAATGCGGGAGGGGCCTGGAGGAGAAGCAGCTGGGACCCGACCGTGGGGGGCCGCACGTGTGGTAACCAAATTCCACTCATGGTTCCTCTTCCTTTCTGTGGAAGGTCATGGTTGAATCTGGTGCTGGTGACACCCGGCTCAGGGCGTGACACACACAGCTTCTTGCAAAGTCTCTCCGAGGGCTGCCTCTGACACCTGCCATCAGAAACTGCACAGGGGGTGCAGGGCTGCCCTTGGGGGAGCTGCTGAAACTCCACACGGAGGGCAAGACGGGGTGCTGGGCACGGGTTTCTGATTCCACATGGGGCTCAGAGAAGGGGAAGGATGATCCCGCCGGCCTGGGAAAATGGAGAACCCTTTTTTGCTTTGTAATCCCTCTTGTGACAGCCCACTCCCTCCGGAGACAGGCGTGCACTTGGCTTGGAGGTTGCAGAACTGGGGCTTGTGGTTTAATCCGAAAATGTTGGTCTTCCCTACCCCCCACCCTGCACCCCCTCCCACAGCTCACATCCAGAGCAGGGAGAAGGTAATGGGAGGAGAAAGCAGGGGGACAGAGGCAACTGGGAAGACAAAGGGAAATGAGAGGAATTGAAAAGATGGTGATCGTGGTCACTTTCTTTGATTCTTGACACAAACACCCTTTGGGAAACTGTGTCCCACACTGACCTCACAGGTGTCGACTGCAGACAGAGCACAGATCAGGAAACCTGGTCCCAAAGGTATGAAGCCCACCAGGCCTGAGGCCCCTCCCCTGACAAGTGCGGGGTGGGAGGTACCAAGCACACAAGCTCTGTGACCTTGTCACACTGTAACATTTTAGTCACTGGAGTGTTGCTCTGAAGGGTCAAGAAAATTGCAGCAATCTGGAGGTTGCAGAAATGAGGGTCAGACTCCGATGCAGTGCTGCCCACACCCATCCGCACACCTGAATCACCCTGAAGCGAGGGGGTGCAAAGCATTGTCTGCCCTGCGAGGAAGGGGTTCCAGAGAAGGAGCACAGGATGGACCAGAGACTTTCCAACGCTGGAGGCTGATTCCCCTAATGCTGGATCTCAGCAGTCAGTGCTGAAGAAAGGTTCTTCTGAAGCCGCCACCTCCAATTCTGAAATAATCCAGGTTCAGATAGCGGCTGACACAGGGACAAACCTGCAAGTCCTGGTAGCAACAGAAGGACGTGGGCAACGAAGGAAAAGGCCAGCTGGGTGCAGCTCAGTTCTCAGCACTAAGGACAAGCCTGGGAATGAAGGAAGGAAACCCAGAATGCACAGGGAGGGGGAAGAACAGGTGTTATTGCTGTGTTTCCAGGGCCAGGATGTACTCTTTGTTTTGGCACATTTTCCTGACAAAAAGCCAATGTTCTCATCACATAAATACTTGCGGACATTAGTAACAACAGCATATGAGACCAATGTCTGTAAAGATGCCATTTTGCATGCAAATAGGCTGGAAATGCCTTGGAGGATTTCACAAAAATAAGACAGGGCAATTAAACTCTGGCAGAGAGATCAGGAGCAAATTCTCTAAAGACAGTGGGAGGAAGGATGCAAACAGCTCATACACACAAGCCTTTTAAAATGGGGCGCATGTGCATGGGACACTTTTGCCTGAAGCACACTGGATACCTGCCGGTCTGCTCTGCCGCGTGCCTTTCCCAGAAAAACCTCTTTAGATGTTTGCTTTTGAGAGGCACTATGTCCTTGAGGGCCGATGCCTGGGGTTTTACCGCCATCTAGTGGAAACATGTGGTATGGTAGCTATGGACGTCCTCTTGACCTAAAGTGAGAGGCAGAGTGAACCTCAGTCTATTTCTCATCTGACAATGAAAGATGAGAGAGAGGTTATGAGCTTAATTTTATTATCATCCATTTCATTCAGAGGAGATGCCATTTGGGTTCCTAGCTATCAATCAACTGGCTTCGCTCAAGGACCAGGGTGAGCTAAACTTGCCTGTTCTATTTCAGCCCAGGTAGAGAGAGCCTCACCGGACCAGCTGGTAAACCCGCCGCTCCAGTACCATCGCGGTGATCCTCAGAGGTCAAAAGCTCCAGTGCCTGAGATGTGCCCAGTTTAACAACCGAGTTTAATTATGTGCAGAGGACCTAAGAGCTGAGGACAGGTTAGCAGCGGCAGGGGATGGATAACAAGTGGAGTTAGTTGAATAGGGAGGATTCTTCTACATCCTTTCAAGAACAAGAACTCGCCAAAATGACAGACTACTTGTCCAAACACTGGAGACCACTATTTCTCTGGAAAGAAACCCATTTTTACTGCCAGGTCTCTGGCCACATCCTCTCTTGGTTTGAAGGAGGCTGACCTAAGGATCCGGAGACTTTTCTCTAATAATAAAGCCGATCCAGAGTGTTTTGTGGCTCCACCTTCCCCTCAGCCCTTTTTGCCTGGTTGAGAGGCCAGAGACCAAAGGACAGAGAAGAGGGAAGAAAATGTGTATTTCTTGTGAAAAAACAATCTATGTGAAACTATATTGTTTTTTCCTCATGACTAACCTCACAGGGTTAATGGCCTCTTGGGAAAGACTAGAACAGCCTAGAAGGACATAAATCATCATCTGTAACTCTTCCTTTTCAATTTAAAACTTGGCTACTGTTGGTGCAAAGCCATTGAGAAACAATCAACCAAACCTTGTGGAATGTAAACTTCCCTAACTCAGCGAGTCATTCATTCACCTCCAAACCCTCCTCTCCTCTTTCCACACCAGGCCTTCCTTCTGATGAGGAGCAGAGCAGCAGGCTCTTGGGAGGTAATTCCCTAACTCAGCTACACATTTTTTAATGTCATTCATTTTCTGTGCATGGCAATTTTTTTTCCTCCACCAAAAGGCAATTTTCTATTGTCCTGCCCCACAGAGCTATTTCCTGGATGATGTAAATACTAATTGTTAGGTACCATGTCTTTCCAATAGGTATTATAAACCAGTTCTGCCAAATAAGGGATATGGATTTATTTCCTCCTACAATTGAACCATGGGTGAACTGTGAAACTGGCTTTAGGGTCTCCTTCCTGTCTTACCCGGGCTGCCAGGTAAACCTCATTCCAAGGTTGCCACACCTCTGCCTTCCTGGAACAAAACCTCAGGGTCTGTGACCCTTCCTGGCTCCCCTCTCACCCCTACAACTCACCTCAAAATTTGGGGAAACACAATCATCTTAGACACATGTGAAGACAAGAAGGAGAAACACGTGGAGAGGGGTCAAGTCCATATCCAGTGGAACTGAACCTTGAACTTCAAGTCCAACATGACTAATGTCCACCACTCATACAGTGAGTTACCACCACATCTTTATTGCGTCTCCAGGTAAAGAATGCTGAATAACTTATTAAACAAGGAACAAACGCTCCCCACCCGTAGACAATGCCCATTTACAGAACACAGGGGGTGAACACAGTGCAAATCTAGTTACAGAGGCTGGGATTCCAATCAGTGCCAGGAATTTACAGAAAGAACAGTGCGCAAATTCTCTGGGCAGAGAAACTGGGCTTGTCCAGGCTAGTGAGGTCTAGGAGACTCCTGATAAAACATTCAGGGGAGATTAGCAGGGAGACGGACAGCCAGCTTGGGAAATGATACAAGAAGAGTTTCGAGACCTGTGAACCGGTGCTGGGGACCCACCGGGGTCCAGTGTTGGGCAGCACAACAGAGACGCGTAAATTAGGGTGACCTTTAGCTCTCCGACCCAGACAAGAAGGGAGGGTCCCAGTGGTTGGCTTCCAGTGTAGATTTAGGCAGGAAGGGGCCAAGAGGTCTTTGCTGTTTTTGCTCAGATTTGCAGTTCTGCTCTGAGCCAAGCAATCCTCACAAAACCAGCGCTGCGTGCTGGCTCTGGAAGCTCAATGAGCGACCACGCAGTTACATGGCCAGTGCGTTAGTCACAGGGAAAGTGACAGGGAATAGTAAGAGGCCAACCCTGTGTTGCCTGATACCCCCACTTATAAGAAGCATCCTAAGTATGGAGCTAAGAAAAAACTACGGTGCTGCTAAGAACTGGAGCCTTCCTACCACCGCAGCTCCAGGACAGAAGAGCTGTCGAGGCCGGTGGGGAGGCCATGATTTCCCACAATGCTTTGCATGGCTTCCTTGGGAGGCTTCAGGTTCGCCCACATCCCTTCGGGCTCCGCGTTAGTCCTGCGGACTTGTGCTCATCCTACTCCTCAGAACAGCTAACTGCCGCTTTTCCTTCCTTCGTAGTCATTGTAAGGGCTGACCCGAGTCTGGACCCGCGGAATGGAGAAATCCTTTTGGGAGGTCCGATTCTGGAAAGGAAGCATTGTATTATTTAAAAACGAAGCAAAAACACTTTCATTATTGGATATTTCAACAGAACTTCCACCTGGGTAGGAATCTCGTTTTCTTCCTCTTCTCCTAAACCCTCCCCCTGAAGCCCCCTGTGCCCTACACTCCAGTCTTCTGCCCCAACCCCATGGGCAGATGACAGCAAAGCAGACATGTCATCCTTTCAAGGTGGCCATTGAGGGGCCATCAGAAGGTCCGAGGGCTGCTGATGAAAAAGGAGAAAGAGGCCATTTACCTGCAGCTGAAAATGGGTGGTATAAGGGGCATAGATGGTATCACCTATCTCTTCAAGACCTGAAACAGAGGGAGAGGAGCAATTCAAGTGTTGGGGTCCCTCCCCTGGACACCCACCTGTGCTCACCCCGGCCGAGGCATTCACCAAGGCACCACGCGTTACCCATCGACTTGTCTCCCAGGAAGGCTGTGTCCGCAGGCCCAGGACCAGGCACAGAGCGAGCACAGCATTGGTTGAAAAAATGAGTAACTTGTATCACGTGACCAGGATGGAACCACCTTCCCAACACCTCACCAGACGCCCACCTCGTGGTGGGACCACTGGGAAGGCACATTGGAAACCAGTCTTTCCAGGGAGACCCCATGGGGGACTTACCTACTTCTGTAACTGCCCAACAAGGGGGAATTTTTTTTATTATTTTCATTAAACAGGGTCAGAATTTACGAGCAGTCGTTTCTATGAATTGGGAAGAAACCAGGATTTGAAGTCAGGAACAGCTGAGTAAGCCCATACAATCATCACGAATACGAAGTAAAGGGATCCACTGATTTCCCACCAAATGCACCTGTTCGAGTCACTGGGTAAATACCTAAATGCCTCCGCTATGGAAGGTGCCGTGAAGAACAGAAGGACTAACAGGAATGACTCCTGCCCTGCGCTGACTCTGGAGAGTGAGGAAGGCCTGGCAGCTGCAGAAATAGCTGCGGGGATGGGACGACTGATAAGGACCGGAGTTCCACGGGTACCGGGGCGGGTGCGTGCTGACCACGCTCGGGGAATGGGGGACTGTGGGGAGGGGCAGGCATAAGGAAGGAGTCCATTATGTGGACTGTCCAGCGACTGTCTGGCTGAGGACAGGCACTCCTTGACCCTGACACGGAGGCAGAGAAAGGACTGGGCAAGGCTTGGACTGAAAGCAAAGCTTGTGTGGCTGTTGGGTTCTGCTGTGAAAAACCTCACCAAGGGTTTGATCAAAGCAGGGAGAACTGGGGAGCTGGATAGGTCGGTGACAGCAAAAGGTGGTGGCCAGGGGAGTGTCCTAGAGTAAGCTGACAGTGGCCCATAGAAGGAATGCAAAGAAGAGTTAAGGAAGGAAGAGCAGTTAGGGGATGATAATGGTAACTGAGTCCTGGCAGTGACATGACAGAGCGAAGCCATGGAAGTGGATAGGAGGGATGAGTGGGTAAAAGAGCCCCTTGGGCTCTCCCCTTCCCCTTCAGGCTTCCCAGGGTTCAGGAGAGGGCCCCCAGCTGCAGGCAGAAGCACCAGGAAGCTTTGCACCTCAGGGTTCAAGAGCAGAGAAATTGTTAGCAGGCAGCTAAAAACCTGGCCTGCGATGCCCTTCACTCCTGCCGCAAACCCATTCCCCTCCCCAATTATTAGGCGTGGATATCAATATAAACCCCGGAGACCATGACATAGATTCCTACAGGCAAGGGCAGTGTCTGGCTGTCAGCTTAGCCTCTTTGTTCAGAGAACAGCCACAGAAGGCCAGGCTGCTCACAACTCCAGGCAGGAGAAGCAAATCGGTTCGTTCTTTCACGTCCGATAAGATCGCTTCCCTCCCACCTCCCACGCACATGCAGTAAAATGCAGCTCTTCAGATTAAATCAGAATCCTTAGTAACTTGACAGAGATTCCTGCTGGTTTATGATGAAAGAGTTACCCCGCTCCGCCCTGTGCCCTGTGATCATTGCAGGGAATCAGGACTTGACTTTATTGCGCCCAAACATATAAAGGCCACACGTTTCCGGAAGGAATGCCCAGTTATCTTTGATAAAGAACACAATCTCACCAACGTGTCTCTAAGAAATTTTCCAGTCATCCCTTCTCTAGTCCTCTGCTTCATGTAATTTGGACTCAGAGAAACCTACAAGGTATTATGTGGACGGTGCTGGGTTATGACTCCAGAGGCCAGCTTCTAGTTCTGCTTGGTGTAACCTAGCTGGGTGACTTTAAGCAAGATCTGAACCTTGGGGAGCTGATCTGCTCTGTCAGGGGCACGAGCTGGATAAGCTTGCGTGTTCCTTCCAGTTACATGCCCCGTGATTCTCCCCCGACTTTCTATGAGAGACTCTCCACCCAGCCAGACGAGATACCTTGTGTGATTTCTTCTTGACTGTAGGCTCTGTTCTCCACACCATAGCTCTGCTTCATGAATTGAGGTTTACAAAAAGCATCCTCAACAGGGTAATCCATGGGGTTCTGTTGCTTCGTGAGCAGCCGAAACTCAGGTGCAACGTAAACCAACAGGAAAACCCAGCCATTGGCCACCAAGGCTGAGCTGAGGATGGTATCATCCCACTCAGGGCCAGGGGCAGAGGTGACCAAGAGCAGGACGATCCACGCCACCCAGATGGCACTAGAGAGGAGTGTGCTGAGGCAGATGTGGGCCCCGTGTCTCTTCCAGCCAGTGAAGGGCCCACAGAAGGTGAAGCAGGATGTGAGGAAGGTCAGTGCCATCAAGAAGAGGACAAAGATGAGCAGCATGACAAAGTCCTCATTGCGCCGAGGAGGAGAAAGCTCAGTGAAGATGGCGGTATTGGTCCTGTTCATGGTGAGGACGACAAACTCAATAGCGATGATGTCCTGCACCAGGCTGACGCCCACGGCCAGGCCCAGCATCACCAGCATGGACAGCGGCTTCCACCCTCGCACCAGCTTCATCAAGTTGAGAGCGTGAGCCAGGAGGCAGGAGAAGCAGAGGGAGAAGAGGACGCCGAAGAGGAAGAAGCGCGTGGGCCCCGTGCTGCTGTCCAGAGTGATGATGAAGGCGAAGGTGAGGCCGAAGATCCCCAGCACACCCAGGAGGAAGAGAAACTGGACTGGGAGCACCTTTCGCCTGTTGGAGTCCTGCACCTTGCAGACGAGGACCAGGAGAGCTAGCATGAAGGCCACCGAGGTCACGGCCCCAGCTGCGGCCACCGCTTCCAGGACAATGCCCCAAATTCCATCTAAGTCACAAAGTCTGTGATACCTGGCATCCAGGCTTTGGCGGCAACCACGAGGGGTAGTGGCCATTGTGATCCTGCAGAGAAGCAAATTGGGGACAAGGGGTGAGTGTCCTAACAAACTCAGGCACAGAGAACCGAGAAAGATTAAGAAAAAATTTTGTATGTTCAGCCGGTGTTTTGCCCGTGAACTTACTACATTAGGTAAAGCTGCTAACTTTTCTCCACCTGCCGTGGCAGATCCCAAAGGCTGATGAAAGGAAGGAAGAAATCGTCCTTCCTTCCCTGCACTTTGAACCTTAATATTTACCCCAGAGCTAGAGGACTGCGTGCTCTGTGGAGAGGTTTTAGAGGGTCAGTTCAAAACACATGTCACAAATAACTTCCATCCTTCCTGATATTTTAGGCTAGTGCCGTCTTAGGAATCAGTGAACACAAAAAAATGCCTTTTTGAGACACTGTGTGAATGTCCTATTCTCTGAAGGACGAAAGGAGTTGTCTGAGCTATAGATTTCTCTGCAGAGACCAAACATTCATTTTCAGCAGCTGGATTCTCTTCTTCAGCTCTGCCGTCACAGACTGGAAGGGTTTTCTTCCCCTCCGCAGGGTCTGTAAGGATAGTTCTACTAATTCCAAAAAGCAATGAAGGGGTCTTCCCTGTCATAATGAGCTTTTAATTATATATGCAATATAGCACATACATTCATTTTTAGTATTATGTATATATTAGAATATTATTATATTAGTGGAAAGTTAGAATAAAATATGTTAAATAATATAAATAACTTAGCCCCGACTGGCAAGGCTCAGTGGGTTGGGTGTGATTCCGCAAAGCAAAAGATCACCAGGTCAGTTCCTGGTCAGGGCATGTGGCTGGTTGCGGGCCAGGTCCCAGGTTGGGGGGACGCACCGAGGCAACCAGTGGATCTCTCCTGCATATCAATGTTTCTTTCCTTTTCTTCCTCCTTCCCTTCTCCTCTGTCTAAAAATAAATAAATAATGTCTTAAATATCTATAAATAACAAATAACTTATAGCTTAGATCTACCTTCCTAACTTTTTTATGAAATTGGCCCTCCAAGCTTAACTTCATATTATATAATCATTCATTCAACCAATATTTACTGAACACCACTCTGTACCAATCACTATTCTAGACACTCAGTGAGAAAGGGGAAAGCACAGATTCTCTGCCAGCATAGGAGACAGACAGACACATAATCTACTGCTGCCTCAGTCTTCTCCTGGTCTTCCGTCACCATGGGTCTGTCATCTGCGATGTGCCCCATGAGATTTACCACATGCAGAGCACAGAGCAAAACATGGGTTAGGCTCCACCTCTCCAGGGCAGAGAATGAGAACCAGGAGGGAAAAGAAAGGCAGCCCTGTCTGGTGTGGCTCAGTGGATTGAGCACCAGCCTGAGAAATGAAAGGGTTGCTGGTTCGATTCCTAGTCAGAGTACATGCCTGAGCTGCGGAACAGGTCCCGGGTTGGGGGCATGAGAGAGGCAACCGATCTTTGTATCTCTTTTCTCCCTCCCCTTCTCCCTCCCTTCTCCTCTCTCTAAAAATACATCAATAAAATCCTCTTTAAAAAAAAGGTAAATGAGCCTCAGATACAGGCAAGCCCTGAAATGCAAGAAGCCAGAGTCTGCTATGCTTTGCCCACAAGTGTCCGCTCCAGGGAGGTATGAGAAAGGCAGGCGTGGAGGGTGCGCCCTCATCTGTACTGGTCACAGAAGAGGAAGAATCTGTCCAATCGGAGGGCAGCACAAACAAGGGGAGGGACCCAGGCAGGCCCTGTGCCTTTCATCTCCACTCACCTTCACCTCTCCACGTCACTCCCTCCCCAATTAATTATCAGGGTGGCGTCTGGCTGGAAAGGAAGTTCTCTGACCAACCCTGCCCTTCCCGCCACTGTTCCTTCCCCACTCCTCAAAGGAGAGCTATTTGTTGACAACTAGTTGTTATCATAATTACCTGATAATTATGAAGGACTTCGAACTTGATAACTATAAATCTTGACAGAGACTAATGAGTTCTGGGGCTGGACAGAAGAGACCTCCTACCCCCAAACTGGACCACTAGGCCCCTCGCTTCGTGCGCAGCTGTGCAGGGGGTTTGTGTCTCGGGGCCACCTGACGCCCGCAGACCAGGGTCCCACGAGAGCAATGGGCAGTGGATGTGGGGAGGGAGGAAACCGATCCCCGCAATTCATCTCCACCTCGAACCCCAATCATGCAGGGGAGGAGAAACAGTCCCTGAACTGCCTTTAAAACAATGGGTCTTTGTATTTTCTAGTGTTTGAGTTTTGATTACAGACATTTTCACACACACTGAACAATAAATATGGGCGAGTCAGTGGAGGCTCAGGACTCATCACATGGTTTCAAAAATTACCAACGAAGCACCAATCTTGTTTCATTAATGTTATCCCCACCGCATTCCCCAGACTACCTTTCAACAAATCCCAGACATCAGATCATTTTATCCATAAATACATGCATATATATATGACAAAAACTTTAAAAATAATAACCTTTTAATATCAAATATCCAGTTGAAGCTTGTTTCCCAAATCTCTCATAAATGTCTTTTAAAATTTTTCTAGTAAATATTTTTTCTAGAAAAATTAGTATTTTCTCGTAAATAGTTATTCCCAATTCCCTCATTAATGTCTTTTTTAAAAATTATAGTAAATATGTCCTTACCTGAGTGACTAACTTTTTGAATTAATTGTCCTTCTTAACTGACCTCTGTTAACCCGCCCCTGCCCCTCCCCCAGCATCACAGGAATGACACAGCAGGACAACAATGTCCCCAGTGCTCTCGGTTTAGTCAGAGGGAACTAAAACTCCCCAGACTCGTTAACTAGCGGGTCTGTCCTGAGAAGGTACTATGTTGCCCAGAGAACAGCTCAGATGAGGAAAAACACCAGGAAGGTGGCCGGGCGCAGACAGGGTTTGGGGAGGGAGAAGCGAGCCATCAGCATTTGGGAATATAAACTGCCAGGAGCTAAAGACATAGCCTTGGAGAAGAACACAAGGGCTGGAGCAAGAAAAAGAAAGTGTAATGAGTCTAGCAGTTATGTGGACATCGTCTGTAACCAAAGTCAAAGGCAGAGAGACCTCAAGTCCAACCAAGAATGGACTCACTCCAATAAAGACCAAATGGGTGCAGAGAGAAACCATTTACTCTTGGACCGCTCCAAAGGGGAGGGAGGGTCTCATGACTCATTCACACTGGGTTCAAGCCCAGTTTTATGCCCTTTACTCATTCAACCCACACAACCACCCTATGAGATGGCTCATAGGGTCATTACCCCTGCCAGGGGAGCGGCTGAAGCGCAAGGGAGCTGACTCACCAAAGTCACACAGCTGGTAAGTGGAATGGCCAGGATGCAAACCCGAATTCTCACTTCAACGCTGCACATCTTAGCACAACACCATCTAGCCCCTTGCCTGGTAAGAACTTCAAAGCCAGGAGAGACCCACCAGCTAGAATGGGGTGACGGCATCAGCGCTCGGTGCTGCTTTAGGCTCTGAGCCTGGGTTAAACCACTGAGAGCTCAGTCTACCCTCGTGAGTTGCCCCAACTGGTATGCAGACCCTCAAAGTGCGACACGGTGAAGAAATGACCATTTGCACGCCAGCTGTGTGTGCTCTACTAGAGCAGGCAGGGCAGGGAGGGAGGTACTGCAGGAGCAGATGAGACAGTTGGGGAGGAGGCATCCCGGGGTCTCCTCACTGGCGAACCCAAGGCAATGGCACTAAAAGCCAAGTTAAGATCTTATCATGAGGTTGGGAAATGGCCAAAGAAACCTCTGTCCATCACTAACAAACCCGTCACCCTCATCTAGCACTTCCACCTCTTCAGTGTCTCTTGACTATGCTGCCCACCATCATCTCCACCTGGACCACTTCTGTCTGCAGGCCTGCCGACCCCGAGCCCCTCTCTCTGCGGCCAGGGAAAGAGCCACAGACCTGCACAGCCAGGGTAAGGCTCTGCATCCTCAGTCACTGCCTGCCTCTGGCCTCATGGCTTGTCACCACACCCTGCTCTGAGTCCCCAGTGGGCAAACTTCTCGTCACTCCTCCAAAGAGGCCCCAGTATCCCACTTGCTGTCCCATCTGTGTGGAACACTCTCCCTGCTCCCCCACCCCTTCATTTGACTGAGAGCTGCCTTCTTCCAGGACACCTTCCTTGAGGCCCGAGTCCAGTGAGACACACATCCTTTGAGTTCCCAGGGAGCCTCCGCATTTCCTAGCACAGCACTGGTCACGCAGCCCTGCCCTGACCGTGGGGAATTCTGCATCACCCTCTCGACATAAAGGTTCTGTGGGGGAAGATATTAAATGTCCCTCCCAGCCTCCAGCCTAGCGCCTGACCGGTGGTGAGCGCCCACTCAGGAGGGTGAGGAGAAGTAGTCAGAGGGGCAGGCAGAGTCGGCTGCACTACATCTAACCCCCGCCACTTGCTCCCATCCTCCTTCTCAAGCAGGCTATCTAAAAATCACACTTGGGGCCTGAAGTAGGAGCTCTGGGCCACATCTGAAACCCTGCTCCTATCTAAGCGACTCCAGGTGTAACTAAAAGACCATGAATCCTGAGGCTTTCCCAGCAAGCAGAGAGGAATTTATTGGAATGCAGTCATGTGCTCCCACCCAATTTCCTGATGACTAAGCCCTGCACCTCAGAGGAAGGCGGCAGAGTTTTAGTGGCCTGGGAAATGAGAAAAGGACTTTGAGTCATAGAGTGAGACCCCTTTTCACTTATTACAGAGGCTGACTGAGCTAACTACCTGCTCTCCAACAATCCAACGGCACCCCCAACTGAGACTCTGAAATCACTCAGCACTGCCTTAACCCTTCTGGAATGAGTCAGGGCATTGACAGATATGTTAGGGAAAAAAGAAATAAAGAAAGACAAGGGTGAGGAGAGAACAACCGGAAAAAGAGGTGGGGGAGGAGGAGAAGCAGGCAGGGGAGGGAGAGAAGGAAGAAAAGAAGAGAAGTAGGGAGGGAGGGAGGAAGTCCCTTACTGAGATCAGTTCCAAACCCTCCCTTTACTGCGCCCCCT